CCACAAGCCTGAGCTCCTCCTCGTGGTTCCCAAGCAGCTGGGCATCCAGCCCTCCTGCACCATGAGCATCGTGGCCTCCATGTCATCACGCTCCTCCTCATTCCATGCTGGAGGGACTCAGCCCCAGTCGCAGCATGCACCCCCTCCTGGATCCTCTCCCACCTCCTCACCCCTCCTCACACTTCCTGAGCAACGACACTCAGTTGGCGCACCCCTGAGCATCCGCCCAAGAGACGGAGAAGCACGTGTCCACACAAAGACTAGTAACAAGGGTCTATGCCATCAAAATTCATCCTAGAAACAATGCAACACATTCAAACCGAAACAATATTCAAACTGGAAACAATGCAAGCATCTGCCAGGTGAATGGATACGTAAAAGGTGGTTCCTCCCTAGTGGGTTACTCCTCATCAATAAAAAATACTAAACTGCCGATGTCTGCTTGGACATGGATGAACCTCACACTGACGGCGAGTGAAGAGCCAGTCTCAAAAGATCCCGGACTGCCTGATTCCATCCACACGAACATCCAGAAAAGGCAAATCCGTAGGAATGGAAAACGGGCTTGTGGTTGCCTGGGCTGGGGTGACAATGGAGATTGAGTACAAGCAGAGCTAGGCCTTTCTGGGTGATTGAAACGTTGGAAATGGAATTGGAGTACCAGTTGCATAATTATACATACCATTGAATTATACACTTAAAATAGGTGAAACTTACAGTATGTGAAATCGTTATCACCATTATTAATGCAAAATATTTTTTTTTGAAGGGGGAAAAAAAGAAAAGAGGGAAAAAGGAATATTACTTCATTCCTAAAATGGGTTTCAATAATGGCCGATCAATATTTTGAGTGTTTAAAGTGGTTAATGCATATTTTATGTGTTTAAAATGGAGACCTCTATTGTGTTTATTTGTTCTGGCTCTGAGTTCAAGTCCTGGATATCGTTATCAATTTGTTGTCTCGTTGAATCTAAATCTCATTATGTGTCTTATGTATCTGGGTGTTAAGATCTCTTATTGTTGCATTAATCCTTTTACCCTTGCATCCTTGTAGCTTTGAAATCTATTTTATTAAGTGTGAGAATTGCAACTCCTGCTTTTTATTTATTTTTGCTCTCCATTTGGTTGGTGAGTTTTTTTCCATCCCCTTGTTTTGAGTCTTTGTATATCTTTAGATATATGGTTAGATTTTGTGGATAATGTATATTTTGTGTGTTTAAAATGGAGAGCTCTATTGAGTTTATTTGTTCTGGATCTTAGTTCCAGTCCCGGATATCATTATCAATTTTCTGTCTCGTTGAATCTAAATCTCATTATGGGTCTTATGTATCTGGGTGTTAAGATCTCTTATTATTACATTAATATTTACCCTTGTATCCTTGTAGCTTTGAAATCTATTTTGTCAAATGTGAAAATTGCAACTCCTGCTTTTTATTTATTTATTTTTGCTCTCCATTTGGTTGGTACGTTTTTTTTTTCCAACCCTTTATTTTGAGTCTATGTATATCTTTGGATATACCGTTAGATTTTGTCTGTATCTTTTGATTGGGAGATTTGGTCGATTTAAATTTAGGGTTGCTGCCGTTTGATATTAACTGGCTATTTTGTCCTTTCATTGATAAAAATTTTTCTTTATGTTAATGCTCTTTACTTTTTGGTGTGTTTTTAGAAAGGGTCATACTGGTTGTTCCTTTCTGTGTATAATACTTCTTTTAGAAGTTCTTGTAAAGCAGGCCTGGTGGTAATAAAATCTCTGAGTACTTGCTTGTTCCTAAAAGATTTTATTTTTCCTTCAAATGTAAAGCTTAAATTGGCAGGATATGAAATTCTGGGCTGAAAATTCTGTTGATTAAGTATATTGAATATTGGCCCCCACTCTCTTCTAGCTTGTAGGGTTTCCGTTGAGAGATCTGCTGTAAGCCTGATAGGCTTACCTTTATGGGTAACTTGATCTTTCTCTCTGGCTGCCCTTAATATTTTCTCCTTCGTTTCGATCTTGGTGAATCTAACGATTACGTGCCTTGGGGTTGGTCTTCTTGAGGAATATCTGTGTGGTGTTCTCTGTATTGCCTGGGGTTGAATAGTGTCCTGCTTTGCTAAATTAGGAAAATTTTCCTGGATAATGTCCTGGAGAGTATTTTCCAGCTTGAATTCATTCTCTCCGTCACATTCAGGTACACCAATCAAGCGTATATTAGGTCTTTTCACATAGTCCCATATTGCTTGGAGACTTTGCTCATTCCTTTTTATCCTTTTTTCTCTATTCTTGTCTTGTTGTTTTGTTTCATTAAGTTGATCTTCGACCTCTGATACCCTTTCTTCTACTTGATCCATTCGGCTGTTTAAGCTTGTACATATTTCACTAAGTTCTCGTGTTGTATTTTTCAACTCCATAAGTTCATTTGTATTCCTCTCTATATTGTCTATTCTTTTCAACATTTCATCTAACCTTTTTTCCAAGTTCTTAGTTTCTTTACATTGGGTTAGAACAAGTTCCTTTAACTCCCAGAAGTTTCTTATCATCCACCTTTTAAAGCCTACTTCAGATAATGGAACACAGTCCTTTTCCATCATGGCTTGTTCGGTTGCTGATGAGTCCTTTTCCATCAGGGCTTGTTCCGTTGCTGATGGGTTCTGATTTTGAGTATACTCGGCCTTCTTAGACTGTTTTTTTCCCTTCATTGTAGATGAACCGCCTTTCTAATTAGGTTTCTGAGTCGAGGTCCGATTTATTGATTCCCAATGCTGGGATCCGAGCAACCCACTGTGGCGGCCTAAATAGCAGCGATAAGACTGATGGTGCTCTTCTGTCCGGGAATCTCTGGTCTGGTTTCCCTCCTGAGTCCGCAACAAGCAGCTCTGACTTCCCGGAGCTCCAAATTCCGGTCAGTAGGGGAAGCAGTCCCGTTGGCTCTGCATGAAGAGCTGCTGCGCCAAGACGCCGGCAAAACCACTGCGGCGGCCACAAGAGTCGCACTGGTGACCCGTGGGGCTCCTCCACTGGGAATCGGCTGATCGGTGAGTGACGAAAATTCGTCTAAAAGTGTGGCGTCGTCTCGTTCTCTGGGCTTTCACTGGGAGCTACAATCCTGAGCTGTTAGTGGTCGGCCATCTTGCGCAAAATATTTTTTAACTTTAAAATATGCTTTAAAACCTGGTAACTGGTAGGTGGGTGTGGTGGCTCACTTCTATAATCCCAGCACTTTGGGAGGCCAAGGCAGGCAGATCACCTGAGGTCAGGAGATCGAGACCATCCTGGCCAACATGGTGAAACCCTGTCTCTACTAAAAATACAAAAAATTAGCTGGGCGTGGTGGCACATGCCTGAATCCCAGCTACTCAGGAGGCTAAGGCAGGAGAATTGTTTGAACCAGGAGGCGGAGGTTGCCGTGAGCCAGGAATGTGCCACTTTTCTCCAGCATGAGCAACTCAAAAACAAAACAAAACAAAAAACCCTCGTGACATTCTTCCCCTTTCTACCACGTCCCTTCCATGAACTTCAGAAACACGTAGGGATCACACCACAGAAAAGTGGACTGTGAAGTCCTTCCCAGCTTGTGCTCGTCTTGTGGTTTGGGAGTTTATTTTCTTCCTGAGAAAACCATGTGAGAACCTTGAGTGTTTTACTTCCCTTTACTTTCTTCCCAGTGTAGACCCTAGTAGGGGCTCCAAACCATCCAGAGTCTGGCCCCACCCTCCCTTTTCCAAGGTCAGCAAGAGCTCAGCTGTGGTCAGGTTAGGCACTCGGCCACCGCCCAGCCATGGTCAGGTTAGGCGCTCGGCCACTGCCCAGGCTGCCTTCCCTGTTTCTTTGGTTCTTCCCTGCCTGGAAGCAGACAGCCCACATCCCACCTTCCTTTCTCTCTATGTGAAGCCAAGCCGTTCCTCAGCCCATATGAAATCACACAGTCTCCATTTTCTGACATCACCCAGCACTCCCCTTCCCCCGACTTCTGGGAGCACTCACCGCACCTGGGGAGCAGGCCCAAGCGTGAGGGGCCCTGGACCCAGCTGAGTCTGCACTTCTGGATGTTCCTGGAGCACCTGGGAGGAGCCTGTAGGAGAATCTCTGTAAATAAAGTCGACTGCTCATGCTCCTCAGCAGCCTGCCGACCCAGTCCCCGGAGGCCACACGCTTAGGCTCAGACCCTGGAGGTCGTCTGGCCCCACCCGCACCTCGTGTCTGATTCCCCTGCATCGCATCCTCCAGGTGGGATCCCACGGTCTCTTCTTGACACCCCCACGGGCTTCTACTTTTTGAAGCAGTCCATTCCGATTTGGGAAAGCTCTTGCTGATGGAAACTTCTTCCCCGTCTGGAGCCCACCATGGCCCTCCAAAACGTCCCATCCCCTCTGCCTGCTGTCACGGAGCTGCCCTTAAGGCCACACAAAATGAGCACAGCTCTTCTCGCTGGCAGTCCTTCCTGCCTCCTCAATTTTCATTCCTTCCATACAAACTTCAGAACTCCTCAGCACCAGGCACTCTCCAGTGGGCAAGCACCACCATCTCCACCTGTTACAGGGGGATGCAAACGGCAGAGCCCAGTGACCCACTGCAGCCTGGCCAGCCTGAGCAAGCGGCACCACTGCAGGCCATGCAGGTGTGGGGCTGTCCTCACTGCGGCCATGCAAGGAAAGAGTGACAGGGCGCTGCGCCGAGCCCACAGCCTCCATCCCTGAAGACACTCACTTCTTTTCCACCCCGGCTGCTTAGCTACACTCTCCCGCCTTGTTGTAGCAGCCTTGGAATTTGGGGACCTGAATCCAGAACTGTCCATGCCTCCCTCTCCTGCACTGGCAGGAGTACTGAGGCCAACAGACCATGAGCTCTCGCTTTTCCCTGCAGGGTGGCGTCCTGCAGCAGGCCCAGGTGCCCTCCCAGCTCCACCTTCCACAGCAGGCCCAGGTGCCCTCCCAGCTCCACCTTCCACAGCACTTGTGGTGATTTATCGACTATCATCAGTTATAAGTCAGTTTAGGAACAAATGACAGAAACTTGGTCTGACATAAACAAATGGGTTTTTATTTGTCCCATAGAAACAAGCCTGGAGATAGGGGAGGCCTGCCAGCGAGGTGGCCAGGGCCCTGCACTCCCCACGGCCATGTGCTCCCATCATCTGCAGGGCTGCCTCTGGGCACAGACCACTGTGGGCACGTCCCTCCAGCAAGGACAGAGAAGATGCTCCGGAGCAGGGAAGAGCTGTCCCAGAGCCTCTGCCTCCCTATTGGAGGAAGGGGCATCTGCCCGTGTTGTTCCGCCTGAGTGCCACTGCCTGGAGCTGGAAGGGAGCTTAGAAAACTGAGTTTTGGGAGGGCACGTTGCTCCCTGAGAAAATCAGCATTCTACACTTACGGAAGAGCGTGGCAAGATCGTGTGCTCTGCAGGCAGTCTCGGTCATAAGAAAGGCTGTCGGAGAGAGGAGAGCCCTGGGGCGCCCGGCCGGCGCTTGCTCCAGACCCGTGTGGGAGTCAGCTCGGCTGTCGCAGCAAATCCCACAGACTGGGCTGCGGATGGGCGGCTCACACACAGAAGTTGTTCTCACATCTCAGGAGGCTGAAGACCACCAGCAAGGGGTGGGCAAGGCCGGCTGCCTCCGATGCCTCCCTCTCTGTCTCCTTCCCTGGGTCCTCGAAGGGTCAGCCCTCTGGGAGTGTCTGTGTCCTCATCACCTCTTCTTATAAGGACACCAGTCAGATGGGATCAGGGCCCACCCTAATAACCCCATTTCACTTCAGTTATCTCTTGAAATGCCTTATCTCCAAATACAGTCACATTCTGAGGTGCTGGGAGTCAGGGCTTCAACATGAGAATTAGGGGGTAAACTTAACTCAGCCACAGCAACTGAGGATGACCTCAGGCCCTGCTTGAGGCTGCCAGCCTGACCCAGAGCATCCACACAGGCACTCTGCAGACCACATTTATACACACCCCCATAACTATACGTGTTGGTCTGAACTTGTTTTTTAAGAGAACTTAGGAAAATCTAGATACAGTATGACCACAACCTTACCCGATCAAATAATTCTAAATAATCCTTTCTAGAACCATACCGTACACTGAGCCATCAATTAGATGGTTACTTTTTTTTTTTTTTTTTTTTTGAGACGGAGTTTCGCTCTTGTTACCCAGGCTGGAGTGCAATGGCGCGATCTCAGCTCACCGCAACCTCCGCCTCCTGGGTTCAGGCAATTCTCCTGCCTCAGCCTCCTGAGTAGCTGGGATTACAGGCACGCGCCACCATGCCCAGCTAATTTTTTGTATTTTTATTAGAGACGGGATTTCACCATGTTGACCAGGATGGTCTCGATCTCTCGTGACCACCCGCCTCGGCCTCCCAAAGTGCTGGGATTACAGGCTTGAGCCACCGCACCCGGTAACTTCCATACTTGTTATCCGAATCTGTCATAACTAAAACCAAGTTTAACCTACATACCGGGAAGTGGAAAACTGTTCAGTGCCCAGAAAAAACTGACTTCATTATCTACGAAATACAGGTCCAGAGGTTCCTATAGCTACAGCCTTCTCGGGTACAAATGGCCCCAGCTTTTAGGATAAAATGCATCCCTGTAAATATGTCAGACACACTGCTAGGAGCCTGCGCTTCTGAATTCAGGTTCCAAAGAATGACAGGCATCATTAGTGGGCAAAAATTGAAGGAATTTTTTAATAGCTGCCAAAGGCTGAGAAGAAGCCAGGGCTGGAGGCTTCAGTGGGAAGGGTTCTCTCTCCACCTGTGCTCCCCATGGAGTGCCTCTCCTCTTTGCTGCTTCAGGCTCTCCGAGGCTTCCTAAATACCTGGTGGGCATAGAAGGCCTTGAGGGCTGGACCAAGCCTCTCTCCTTCCGCTCAGCATGGGGGCTGAGACGTCTGTCCTCACTAGGGTCCTGCCCTCTGAAAACGTCACTCTAAACTTCTTGGAGGGAACTGTGCTGAACACCCAGGTCTGGACAACTAAGGAGAAGAAAGAGGAAGAACAGACACAGCTTCCCTGTGTTTCCGTGTTAGGCTAAGAAAAGAAAAGGAAAAAAAAAAAAGAAGAGGTGAAGCCTCAGCTCAACCAGCTTGGATACTTACATAATGTATGGAAATGAAAATCTTGAGTTTTGGGTAAAGTCATGAAAATCTTGAGTTTCGGGTAATGCTCATGCCTGTGCTGCTGGCCCGGGTGTCCTACAAGCCCCATTCCTGGACTGCACACCCTGTTTACCTGAAGCCAAGTAAAACCCAGGCGAGGACCCAGGTGTCAAGGCTGCGGCTGCTCCGTGCAGACCACCTGCATCCACCCAGCGCTGAACACACAGATCCCTCTCGGTCTCCACAGAACTCGTGGTCAGGGCAGAGGGACACGTTACATATGAGTGCTTGCTTTCCTCCTGGGGAGGACAGTTGCAAACTGTTGATAAGGCATTCAGAACACATGGGATTTGAAACCAGGGTAAATTTAGTCCAAGATCTACCAAACAGTAGGTGATCGACTATGTTTCTTTAAGCTCTTCCTGAGTAAACTCAGTATTGTGAATATCCAAAGGGCTGAGTTTTCTGACATGAGGCTGGGCAAGTCCTGTAGGAGACAGAGTGGACAAGTGTGTCATAGTCCCTCAAACCATTGGACCCCCAGTTTCACTGAGATAAGACAAGCATCCTACAGAATGGAGAGGCACAGCATGCTCAATGCTTTGAATGAGCCCAGGTCACCCTGCCGAGGAGCAGACGATGACAGAGAGGAGTCACAGCATCAGCCCAGCTTTGGATGACATGGGGTATCTTAAAAGACACATTTAGTTCACAGAACCAACTACATTGTCCTCTGAGAAAGAAAAGAAAAATGTAAAAAGGAAGTCAGAATTTCTTCTTGAGAAGCTGGTCCCCTCAGGGAGCAGAAATGGGCTAAAATAGAAAAAGAAACTAAAATTAAGTCATTTAAGAATTTCATGAAAAAAGTAAGAGTCATCTTCATCAGTAACGATTTTGATAAAATTTCTTAAATACCTTGTTGAAGCTCCTTCCGATGTTACAAGAGCCCTGGAGAGGGGACAGACATGCCTTTGGCTGATGAGGAAGGTCTGGGAACCCGCCTCCGCCAAGGCTGCCACGCTCAGCAGAAGTGGACTTAGAGGCTAGAGCAGGTCCTAGACCCAAAGGTCTTTCTGGGAAAACTGTTAGACATGTTTCAGGCAAAGAAAAAGCAAAAGGGCATATTCACCTTCAACTGCTCTTCAAAAAGAGACTAAGAGAAACGATTTTACATTAGCAGAATCAAGAACATTAACAGAACTGAGAACAAAAATCGTGTGATCCTTCTAATACGCATTGATTTGCATTTGGAGAGCCATCCTTGCATCCTGGGATGAAAGCCACTTCATCATGGTGGATGATCTTCTTGATGAGCTATGGGACTCAGCTTGCATCTATGTTCATCAGTGATGTTGGCCTGTAGTTTTCTTTTTTGTTGTTGTGTCCTTATCCGGTTTGGGTATCATGGTAATGCTAGCCTTGTAAAATGAGTTGAAAGCTGAAAAGGTTCTGCACAAGACCAGGCCAAGGTAGGAGGAACACTTGAAGCCGGGAGTTCAAGACCAGCCAGGGCAACAATAGTGAGACTGTCTCTACAAAAAAAAAAAAAAAAGTTTCTGAGCAGTAAACAAAACAATCAACAAAGTGAACATACAGCCTAAAGAATAGGAGAAAATGTTTGCAGTCTCATTATCTGACAAGGGATTAATAAGCAAACTATATAAGGAGCTCAAATAACTCAACAGCAAAAAATAAAATTACAATATGATTTTAAGATGGCTCAAAGATCTGAGCAGATATTTTGTGACAGAAGACGTGCACATGGTCAACAGGTATATGAAAAAATGTTCAACATCATTAATCATCAGAGGAATGTAAATCAAAATCACAGTAAAATATCACTTCGCCTCAGTCAGAATGCTTTTTCTCAAAAAGACGGGGTATAACAGATGCTGGTGAGAATGTGGAGAAAAGGGAACCCTTGTTCACCACTGGCAAGATTGTGAATTAGCACAGCCACAGTGGAGAGCAGTATGGAGGTTCCCCAAAACCTAAACATAGAACCACCATATGATCCAGCAATCCCACTGGCGGGTGTGTGTTTAAATCTCACATTTATTGCAGCACTCTTCACAATAGGCAACATATCGAATCAACACAAGTGTCCATCTGTGTTGAAACTGAGGTATAAATGAGGTATAAACACACAGTGGAATATTATTCAGCCATAAAAAGAATGAAATCCTTTCATTTACAGCAACATGATGTGAAGTGAAATAAGCCAAGCACAGAAAGACAAATACCACATGTTCTCACTCATATGTGGGGGCTGAAAAAGAGGACCTCATAAGATAGAGAGTGGACTGGGGGTTACAAGAGGCTAGGAAGGGCAGTGGCGTGGGTGGGGAAAAAGAGAGGCTGACTGAGGGTATAAATATTCATGCAGAAAAAAATCAGACCCTGTGTTTGATAGCTCAGTAGAGTGATTATACTTATCATTAATCGACTGTTTTGAAATAGCTTGAAGAGAATAATTCAGTTGTTCTTAGCATAAAGAAAAGGTAAATATTTAAGGGAATGGATATTCCCGTTGCCGCAGTTTGATTATCTGAGTGTAAATTATCACATGTGTACATCTAATAGGTGTCAATAAAAAGTAAATACTTATTTAAAAAGAGAATAGATGCCCGAGTTGTTTCCACCACTTGGCTAATATATATAATGTCCTTATGAATGTGGGTATAAAAATCTCTATTTGAGATCCTACCTTTTTCCTTTGTGTATATAACCAGAAGCGGCATTGCTGGATCCTATTCCAGTTCTATCTTTAATTTTTTGAGGTGTAACCATACTGGTTACATAGTGGCCGTACCATTTTACATTCTCACCAACGTTACGTAGTTTTCCATCTCTCTACGCCCCTGTCAACACGTTGGCTTTTTGATTAGCCATCCTATGGACATCAGGTGACATTCCATCGTGGTTGTGGTTTTCATTTATCTAATGTGAATGATATTCACCATCTTTCCATGTGCTTATGTGGCCATTTGTATATCCTCTTTGAAGAAATGTCTATTCGAGGCCTGTGCCACTTTCAAATTGAGTTACTTATTTTGTTGTTGTTGCTGAGATTTAAATGGTCTTTATATATTCTGGATATTAACCCCCATCAGATATATAATTTGCAAATATTTTCTCTCATTGGGTAGGTTGCCTTTCCACTCTGTATTGTGTACTTCACCATACAGAAGTTTTTAAGTTTGATGCAGTCCCATTTGCCTTTTTTTTGCTTTTGTCACCTGTGCTTTTGGTGCCATATCCAAAAAAATCATGCCAAATTAATGCATGAAGTTTTCCCCTATATTCCCTTCTAGAATTTTTATGCCTTTCAGTATTGTATCTAGTTCTTTAATACATTTTGAGTAAATTTTTGTATGTATGTAGTGTAAGGTCAGGGTCCAACTTTGTTCTTTTGCATGTAAATATCTAATTTTTCCGACATCATTTGTTGAAGAGGCCATCCTTTCCCATTGAGTGGTCTTGGCACCCTCACCAAAGATCATTTGACCATATATGTGAGGGTTGATTTCTGAGATTGATATTCTATTCCATTTTTCTATGTCTTTGTGACAGTATCGGGCTGTTTTAATTATGTAGTTTTTCAATTACTGTAGTTTTGAAGTCAGAAAATGTGAGACCTCCAACATTGTTCTTTTACAAGATTGTTTTGGCTATTCAGGGCCCCTTGAGATTCCATGTGAATTTTAGAATGGATTTTCCTATGTTTGAAATAAAAATGGGGGTTTGACAGGGATTGCATAGAATCGATAGTATTGGCATCTTAACAATATTGTCTTTTGATCCATGAACATGGGATGTCTTTTCATTTATTTATGTCTTCTTTAAAAGCTTTCATCAAGATTTTCTAGTATTCAGCATAGTTTTAAAAACATTTTGTTTACAAGTCCTTTACCTCCTTGGTTAAGTTTATTCCCCAAAGATTATTTTTTAAAAAACAAAATCTACTGCATCTAAGCAAGAGGGAGCTCTTCCATCTCCTTTCCTTAGTCAATGTAAAGTCTAAATAACTGCTAAATGGTATATAATTGTTCCTTTATAAGAAACCATACTTGCAGGTCAAAATAGCCTTCATAATTGTCTGTTGTCAGCTTGCTTCAAAGCAGCCCACTTAGATCCCAGCCCAAGGCCAGGACCACCTGGGACCGAGAAGACACATTCTCCAAAGACAACTTCCCCTGCAAAGATGAGCTGTGTGTAACTGGCAAGCATCGGAGAACTGAAGATGAAGGACTGTTTTGTTTTGTTTCATTTTGTTTTGTTTTGTTTTTCCAGCATGGATAATGCAATTAGACTGAGCCCTGAGATTGCTAATTACAACAGTCTCAATAAATACAAATAACTCTAATCCATCGTGCCACCACCAGGAGCAATTATATTTCAGGTAAGTCAGCTCAAAGGCATGACTAACTCCTTACAAGCAGCCCAAGTGTCCGTGGGTGTTGAGTGGCTATGAAACATCACGCCCTTCATCTCTGCCAAGGAGCAAGCTCAGGTGCACAGCTGCGTTTGGCTGCCAGGCTTTCCTTGGGAGAACAAGTGCTATAGTCCCAGGTCAGACTCCAGGCTGATCTCAGAACATCCAAGGAAGTCAGTGGTGGAGAGTGACCCGTCCTGAGGGCAGCGACATCATCTTGATGTCCGAGCCCTGCGAATTTTGGTTGAAGTTTCCGACGCCATCAGCCAGGCAGAGGCCTTGATGAAAGCTTCTCTGTCTAGCAGGCTCACCTTTCGCACAGCTGTACCTAATCCCTGAATCTCACCTGCACAGCCCAGCCAGCCCACACCCCAAAGGGATAAGGACAGAAAGTGACAGAGGCCCTGGGAACTGAGCAGGCAAAAGAGTCCTTTACAATTTCTCTTTGACACGAGCCAGGTGACATCCTGTAGGATGACCAAGACTTATTGTGCGAGTAGCTCACGAGCAGACACAGAATGCCAACGCTGGTGTGTCGCTGCATGAGCGCTGGGTGGGAGGAGAAGGCAGGCAAGGCCTTAGCCTTTGGAGCAGGAGTGGCCAGTCCTGCCAGGTGGTTGACCCAGGCAGTGGCAGCAAGTGACAGAGGTTCCTGTCCCAACCCCTCCCCCAGGGTTGCCCAGCCCTGGGAAGCCACCACTGGGGAAATGCTAGCACCCTCATGTTGGTGCCCCTCCTCCTGGGGTCATGAAGCAGCAACAAGCGGGCTCTGACCTCCTGAAGATACGCTGGAGAACAAAAGCAACAAAAGCAAGAGGAAGCAGCAAGATGGGCCTGAGTCCACCCCGTAGCAGGGAGCTCACCCAGGTGCTCCCTACAGAGCCAGAGTCTGTCAAACAGCAGCTTGGAAATCAACTGACAAGTTGCTGACCTGGGAGTTATCCACGGTCACAGGTAACTTGGAAATTGTAGCTCAGACAAGGCGCACATAGACCTATAGTGAGAGAAAAGGGGAGTCAGAAGGTATTTAAGATTTTTTAAAATAATCGTGATGTGAGCCTATCAGCACAGGTCCCAGGAGGTGGCTGCCTGGTGGGTGGATCTGATGAGGAGCCCACAGCCCCTGCTGCCCACAGCCCTCCCCACCAGCCTCAGGGCCCCCTCCCCAACAAGAGTCACTCCTCCCGACCATGGGAAAGGATGAGATGCTGACCTCAGGCCCCTGCTAAAACCATGTCTCTCCCAGGAAGGGAGAGGCTGACTGCCACACCCCTGACTCCACTTACACATGTGAGGAGGGACGCACCACTTCCTTGGGTTCAAATCCCAACTCAGCCACTTACTGGCTGTGTGGGGGGATTAACGAACTCATCTGTATAAACCGCTGCTACAAGAGTCTGGCAGGCACGTGGCGGGCCTTACGCCTTTGTCTGCAGTTATGATTGTTACCATGATTAGTTGTCACTTAGAGAGAGATGCTCAGAACTCCCATGACAGCAGAATCAGCTAACACTGCCTTAGAATAGTCGGTGTCAGCGACAAAACTGGGGGTGTTCATGGAACGGGAAGGGGCCACGGTCAAGGGGACCTCAAAGAGGAGGAAATCAAGGAGGACCTGGGGAAAGTTGCCATCCAGTGGGGAGCCCATGAGAGCCCACGGTGGAGGGCCTTGGATGGCCCAAGTGCCTGCCGTGCCTCCTGGACCCCTGGCTCCTCCTCTAATAAGCTCTGCTGCCCTGAGCAAGTCAGACAACTCCTTGGAGCCTGGGTTCCCTAGAAGTCCCAGCCATCACCCTTTTAACTAAATGGAGACTTGCAAATCACCAGGACCTCCTTGGTCTCAAACCTTGGAGCCAGCAGGATATACAACCAACTGTGGGCACAGAGCAAGGCCACAGCTTGCCCAAACGGTGGCTGCTGCAAAATGTGATGTGAGAGAGACTGGCAAGACCCTCCTTCCCCAAATCATTCCTACGGATTTATCCTGCCACTGTCCGGCTTCAGGAGTCCCTGCCACATGCAGGTTTATACACAGCCACTCTAAGCCCCTCCCCTGGAACCTGTCTCTTACCTGGCTGAACTCACACGGTCCACATGTCCCTAACCCTGGACCTCAGCCTCAGTGCACCTCCTCTGCTGCACCCGCGCCCCCAGCCCCAGCTCTGCCACTTTACCACCTCCGGGTTTCCTGAACCTCCCCTTTCTCCCAGCCCACACCAGAGTCTGGACACCATTGGCCTGGTGGCCTCAGGGCTGGGTCCCCAGTAGGCTCCAGAGTATGCCCTCTGCTCATCCACCATCTGCAAAGACCCCCAAGCAGCCTTCTGTGAGGCTACACCCCACAAAGCTGACATTTGTCTTGGCTCCAAATGGCCGAATATTGGCAATTTCGTGTGGTTCAATCCATAAATGGTGGAGAGGACTGCAGAGTTCCTGTTTGGAATCCTCAGTAGCTCCGTTTACCAAGCTGCTTAGCTACCTAGCTCCAGCCTGCCCGTCCACACTACCCAGCAATGCCAAACGCACAGCTTCCAGAACTCTCCTTGCGTTTCACCTTGGCTGTGGCTTGGCTGTGGAGCTCTTCTGCCTGGCCATATCCACATGTTCTCCTCTCTCTTCCCACTCATCCTTAAGACCCAGCCTAGCTGTCACCACCTCTAGAAAGCCTTCCTTGACCAACCCTAGTCCACAGTAAGCAGTGCCCCTGTTCCTAAAGTTTCCCTGGGAATACTACTGCGTTGATCACATTGGCTTCGGTGATCTGTTTTTCCTTCCATTTCTCCTGCTCTAGTGTGGAACTCACAGGGAAGGAACAAGGTGTTCATATCCCCATCACCTGGAATAGCAGCCCTTGGTTAATGTGTACTGAATGAATCACAGGAACTGTTGGCCGGAGCTCATTTACGCTAGCATGTAAATGACTGATATGCATCTTTTCCTGAAAACAACCCCTGATGGGAGAGAGGAAGGGGAAACCCCAGTGAGCAAGTGAAGCTAGGGAAGCAGCCCCACCTGGAGAGGGACATGTCCAGGGAGCCAGGAGGCCCTGCTTCAACTCTGCTTATGAAGGTTGCTCCGTTCTGCATACCTCTTAAATGGCTTGGGTGCAGGGAATTGTGGTTCCTATTTGAACAAGTGAGAGGCCCTTAATACAGTTTCTAAATGGAAAGCTTCTCAAAGGGACTGGGCAGTGCGGCAGCTCAGGAACCCGGAGCATGGAAGCACTGAAGTGCAGCTGAGCAGGTGAGCTCCAACTGCCTCTGCTCCGAGCGGTTGGCTTCCCAGCAAACTGCCGTCCTGCCCCCACGCCCACGCGCACGGCAGACTGCCACTTCACACAGACTAATTAACAAATCGCAGGATGATTAAATCACGCAGCCCATGGTATTTTCCCAATTCCTCTCAGTTGAGACAGAGCATGAAAGTGAAATCAGAAGCTCTCCCCAGAGGGCCCGCTGCAACCGCAGGCTGCTCTTCAGAAGCAGCAGCAGTCGCTGAAGAGTCACAGCCTCATGCACTCCAGAGACCACGGGCAGCTGCCTCCATGGCCGTGTCCCGCCCCATCTCACTTCCCAGCCCTGGGCCGGGCTCTGGCCCCCAGGAGTGGAGAGCAGGTGTCGGTCACTATGGCTGTCCTTGCTTTCTTTCCCTGGGTCTTGCCCCTTGTGCCAAGCTACTGGCTGCCCCGCTCAGCTCCCACCTACCTCCTCTCAGGGCACGGATGCTCCAAAGCCACCCCCTCCTTCCTCTGCTTGGCTCCAGGCATGAGCGCCTGGTCCCATCTGGACACTCACCAGCGTGGCTACCTTCTCTCCTGCTGGTCAAGCACCCCTTTCTGCTGGAGTTCATCCCTTCAGGGCTCTGCCCTCTTCTCTTTACACAGCAAACTGAGGACCCAGCTGCCCCTCGTCTGAATGGATTGTTGGGAGGGGGCTACCAGCCAGCAGCCCAGACAGAGCACTCCAGGTACTCTGTGACACACGGGCAGATCCCTGCAGAAGTGAGATGTTCTAGATCTTGGACAGTTCCTGACATGGCCATCAGGGCTTTGCTCTTGGAAGCTGGGTCCTCTGAGTTAGAATTCCGTGACAACATGGTACCCAAAACACAGATGCTGTTTGCCTCTGTTCATACAGTCGCACTCGTTAAAGTTCATTAAAGCCGCAGACTGTCATTGTACTGAAAATCATTTATAACAAATCAGACTGACAACAGACCTTGATGTCGCATACTACTCAGTTTGCTCAAATCAGAAAGCTCCGTCAGGAGAAATACAGAGGAAAAATGATGGTACGATGGCCGGGGTGCAGAGTGCACAGAAACTGGAATTCACCTTCCTCAAGGCCAGCTCAGGGCAGGATTGTAACACACACATGCTGGGGCATGCATGCACATGTACACACGCATGCACATGTGCGCACATGCATGTACATAGCACACAGTGCCTTCGCCTCGCTGCTCGATGAGTCCTCTCTCACATAGAAACACTACTTTGCAGGTTTAGTCCTCTCCCCAAATATGAATTCCTGCATACTTATCCCCAGAAATTCAAAGTCACATGACAGATAAAAGACCCTCTGCTGATTAGTTCACTTATTTACCAAGAGAGGCTCTTCCTTTCCTGGAAAGAGTCATCTGTAGGTTACCATAACATTTCGTGTGGGCTTCCTCCAGGGAATGGGAAGGAGCAAGGACAGTCAGCAGCTGTCTCCAGAGTATTGCCTTGCTGGATTAAACGTGCCTGGAAGTGTTTGCAATGGGACTGACAGCAGGTAGAGACACCGGTGGGGTGTCCTGGGAGCAGGAGGGGCTGCCTGGGAAGGTAAAAAGGGAAAGGAAGAAAGAGAGGGACCAGCCCAGCAAGGAGCACTGTGATCATGACACCTTCAATGCCTGTGAACCAAGCACTCAGGATTTATTTCTTCCCAGATTATCCTAAGAGAGGCAATGGCCTCATTGGGTGCCATGGAGAAGCGGGTTCTAGTTCCTAGATGAGAATGGTGGCCAGCCTCTGCAGATGGACAGAGAAGCTGCCAGGGAGAGCCAGCACCATCCTGGTAGCAGCCACCAGCCTCACCCCAACCCGCTCCAAACCTACCCCAGAGGCAGGTGCTGCAACGCTGTGCAAAGCACCTTCGAAGTCTGAGAGAGGCCACGCCCATAATCACAGCAGGGCGTCTGTGTGCTTTTGAGAGTTAGCCCATTAGTCCCGCTGAGACGCCAGCATCAGTGCACGCCAAGGATGCTGTGACTAAGGGCTATTAACTGGGTGGCCCTCCTTGGACCGAAGAAATTTCCTGACTCTCAAAAAGCTCGCCATCGTGTTCCTTTCTGAAGGGTAAGTGTAATGTAGACATACATCATCATCTGTACTGCAGGACACGCTGGCCACTTCACTGAGTCAGGCTTTCACTTAAACATAATAGCTACCAGCCTCTGAAAACAGAAACTATATTGCACTATGCTATTCCGTGTTATATTCTGTGGTGCTGCGCCATGCTGTACTGAGTAATATTATATTGGGCAACACTATATTATGCCATCCTATACCACACTATGTTTACTATACTATGCTATACTACACTATACTATACTACGCTATACTATGCTACGCTATGCTATGCTATGCTATGCTATGCTATGCTATGCTATAGTATGCTATGCTGCATTATGCTGTGTACTATGCTGTCCTGTGCAGCACTGCACTGTGCTGTACAACACTATACTACACTACACCACATCACACTGTGTTATACTATACCACACTATATTATGCTATACTACACTACACTATACTACACTATACTCTACTATAATATACTACACTATACTATGCTATGCTACACTACACTATACTATACTACACTATACTATACTACACTATACTACACTACACCACATCACACTGTGTTATACTATACCACACTATATTATGCTATACTACACTACACCACATCACACTGTGTTATACTATACCACACTATATTATGGTATGCTACACTACACTATACTACACTATACTCTACTATACTCTACTATACTACACTATACTACACTATACTCTACTATACTATACTACACTATACTATACTATGCTATGCTACACTACACTATACTATACTACACTATACTATACTACGCTATGCTATGCTATGCTATGCTATAGTATGCTATGCTGCATTATGCTGTGTACTATGCTGTCCTGTGCGGCACTGCACTGTGCTGTACAACACTATACTACACTACACCACATCACACTGTGTTATACTATACCACACTATATTATGGTATACTACACTGCACTATACTACACTATACTCTACTATACTCTACTCTACTATACTCTACTATACTATACTACACTATACTCTACTATGCTATACTATGCTATACTACACTATACTATACTATGCTATGCTATACTATACTATACTACACTACACCATACTATACTATACTATACTACACTACACTATACTATACTACACTATACTACACTACACCACATCACACTGTGTTATACTATACCACACTATATTATGCTATACTACACTACACTATACTACACTATACTATACTATACTACACTACACTATACTATACTATACTATACTACACTATACTCTACTATACTACACTATACTACAATATACTCTACTATACTATACTACACTATACTATGCTATGCTATGATATACTATACTATACTATACTACACTACACTACACTACACTATACTATACTATACTACACTATACTATGCTATGCTATGCTATACTATACTATACTATACTACACTACACTACACTACACTATACTATACTATACTACACTATACTCTACTATACTACACTATACTACAATATACTCTACTATACTACAATATACTCTACTATACTATACTACACTATACTATGCTATGCTATGCTATACTATACTATACTACACTACACTACACTATACTATACCACACTATATTATGCTATACTACACTACACTATACTACACTATACTATACTACACTACACTATACTATACTACACTACACTACACTATACTATACTATACTACACTACACTATACTATACTACACTACACTACACTATACTATACTATACTATACTACACTACACTATACTATACTACACTACACTATGCTATACTATACTACACTATACTACACTACACTATAGTATACTATACTATACTACACTACACTACACTATACTACACTACACCACATCACACTGTGTTATACTATACCACACTATATTATGCTATACTACACTACACTATACTACACTATACTATACTATGCCACACTATGCTATGTTATACTGTCTTATACCATCATGTAGTGTATTATTGTACTCTGTACTGTGTCACGCCACGCCATACTATATGCTGTGCAACAGTACAGTATGGTGCACTATACTATACTACACTTCCTTATATCATACAGTGCTACACTATATTACACTATCCCACACTACATTATGCTACACTATACTACACTATGCCACACTATGCTATATGATACTATCTTATACCATCATGTAGTGTATTATTGTACTCTGTACTGTGTCACGCCACGCCATACTATATGCTGTGCAGCTGTACAGTACAGTGCACTCTACTATACTATACTTCCTTATATCATACTGTGCTACACTATGCTACACAATGCTAAAGTATACTGTACAATGCCATCTTATACTATACTGTACCATACTGTGCTATACTATATTACACTATCCCACACTACATTATGCTACTTAACACTACACTATGCCACACTATGCTATATGATACTATCTTATACCATAATGTAGTGTATTATTGTACACTGTACTGTGTCACGCCATGCCATACTATATGCTGTGCAGCTGTACAGTACAGTGGACTCTACTATACTACACTTCCTTATATCATACTGTGCTACACTATATTACACTATCCCACACTACATTATGCTACTTAACACTACACTATGCCACGCTATGCTATGTGATACTATCTTATACCATCATGTAGTGTATTATTCTACACTGTACTGTGTCACGCCACACCATACTATATGCTGTGCAGCTGTACAGTACAGTGGACTCTACTATACTACACTTCCTTATATCATACTGTGCTGTACTATATTACACTATCCCACACTACATTATGCTACACTATACTACACTATGCCACACTATGCTATATGATACTATCTTAGACCATAATGTAGCATATTATTCTACACTGTACTGTGTCACTCCATGCCATACTATATGCTGTGCAGCTGTACAGTATGGTGCACTCTACTATCCTATACTGTCTTCTATCATACTGTGCTACACTATATTATAGATTCAACCCACAACATGAAGTAATTATCCCAGAAGCACCTCTGTCCTTCTCTGCCCCTAGAAACACTGTCACTTCAACATGATAAGTGCCCTGGGGAGGGGAGGCAGGCACCCTGTGGCTTTCCTCCAGGTAGGAAGGAAGCAAGGGGTGGCAGTGGTTTGTCCACTTTGGGGAAGCCACCCATCTCTGTGGGTCTTCCTTTCCTCATCTGTACCTGTTCACCCCTCACATGAACCAGCAGAAGTGGTTAAGAAGCAAAGGACATAATTAAAGAAAAAGGAGTCACAGGTCTCAAGACCTAGTTAACATGGGAGGAGTTGGTAGAGGGACCGGCCTGAAGGCCATTCACCTGCAAGCTCACAGAAGCTTCGGTCAGCGATGGCAGTGATGAGTGGAACAAGGTAGAAG